GCCTGGACCAAGCCCTGTCCTCGTCATTCAGCATCCCAGTGGACCATCTTCCGAGAGGCAAGGCTGAATTTAGAGGAGAGCTGCTGAAGGAGGGTTTTCCTGTGAGCCAGAGAGGACGAGCTCAGAGAACTGCAGCAGTGCTACTTGGAGCAGCGCAGTGACTGAGCGCGGAGGAGAGGTGTGGTGGCCGCTGCTTGCGGGAGTACCTCGGCTCTCTGGCGCTCCCCATAAGGTGCTGCAGACGGTGGTTTCTCGTCCGTTCATTTGTCTTCTCACGAACCATAGAAACTGTATGCTTCATTGTTTTATGCCAAATGCTTTGTCCTCCGAGGGCGGGTCGCAAGTCTTCAGGTGTCCTAAATCTCAGGTTTTCCTTCACGGTCGAAGTATGCTGAACGCTTGGTCACTGGAGAGTTAACCTCATCCAGTGGGTCAGTCTCTTCCAGAACTCAGTTGCAGTTTCACTCGTGTCCGAGTTCTTCCAGAGAGCAACTGTACCCTAAAACTCCTTAGTACTGTGAGCTGATTCGCCTGTGGGCTGATGCCAGATCCTCCCCGTGTCCTTGCCAGCGCGCCCAAAGGGCTTCTGTCAAGTTTGTGTGGTTATTGTGCCCTCAAGAGTCACCGGCTTGCCGTGAAGTTCGTAGAGCTCAGCGTCTCCCAGCCCTGGCTGAGCAGGAAGCCGCTTGCTGCCCCTCTCTGCCTCTCTCCTGCAAGAGGCTGAGAGACCGACCTGCAATGCTGTGTTTGACAGCAGAGTCTTCAGGAGCCCCCGTGACTCTTTGGGGCTCAATTTCTTGTGGAAATAAAGACACGGAGGGTGTTTAAATTGCTTCCCCTGGCCGCTATTTCGGAGTAGCTCACCGTGGCGGATCGGTCCCCCCCAGCCTTCTCTCTGCACGGTGCTGCTGCCTTGGCGCTTCCCTCGCGCTGCTGCCCGGGGGCTCGCTTCAGCGCGCAGCGTAACCCCTCTCTGGTGATCCGATTTGCCGGGCTTGGCGCTGGAGGCCAGGCAGAGAGCTTCCCTTAATCCCCGCTTGCGAGAAAGCACTTGTGGAAATAAATACAGTTGTTCTCGTTGGCGTCCCAGGGAGCATGTATTAAATGCAGCCAGCAGTTTCCATGGAGATGCCTTGCCTTCAGTAGTGGTCGGGGCCCGTCCTCAGAATTGCTCTTTGCGGTGATTCTCAAGCACTAGGAGGGCTGTGGGTGAGAAATAGAAGGACAAAGTCTTCTCTGGAGCGGGAGGGTCTTGGGACTTCCTTCCCTGTTTTTTATTGGCTGTGTTATGTTTCTAGCAGTCCCAGAGTCTGTGTGTACGTTTGCAAATAACAGCTTTCCTTTTTTTACTTGATTTTGTGTGGTGGTGTTTCTTCCAAGGCGGGAGCAAGGAGGATAAATGATTGTCAGCCTGCCGGTAAGAGGATTGGATATGACGTCGGCTGCGGCTGACTCTGCCAGACAAATTGTGCTTTGCTAATGCCATTTTTGAAGTCTGCTGGTAACTGTCCAGGCTCCAAGCGGGAGCTTACTGGACCCTAGCTGCACTGACGGTCCCGCCTGTCTTTGTGGGGTACTCAGTTGAGCTTCACCGCGCGCTTCGGGGACAGATACTCTTCTGTGGCCGCTTGCGAGTGCGTAGACCGTGGACTGCTGCTCGCAGGCAGCGACTGAGGCTGGGAGAAGAACGGAGAACAGGCGTCGTTTGCACGTCTTGTGGGAGCGAGCTGCGGTTTGTTACTTTCGTAAAAAGTCAAAAGCCAAAGCAAAGGAAACCACCCTGAGCAGGTCTCATTTCTTCCGTGGGCGCAAAGGCCGTGTCGGGACGGCTTTGCTCACGTTGGCTGTGTTGCAGCCTCTCGGGCAGGAAGCTGGTTTGGAGCGTGAGGCAGCAGTGAGAGTTCGGAGCCGCTTGCTGCAGCCTCTTGAAAGCCCCTCAGTCGTGCGTGTTTTCCAGTTAGACTTTCCCCTTCTATCACCAAGGTCCTTTTTTTATGGTTTTTTCCCTGTACCTTGAGGCAGTTGCAGCCTTGAAGAGTGGAGTTACATTTGACACATACTCTCTTTTGCTCTCACTTATCTGAGTGCTTCTGGAGATGTGAAAATAAAATACTGTGGAGTTACTGAATTCACCTTACCGGGGAGACTTGTCGCCCTGGTTAGCTGCTTGGCCCTTCCTGTCCACCCTGCGTGGCGAGAGTGTGCTGCTCTTACAGAGCAACAGAAGACGGCAGCTTGCGTGAGGGTTGGGAACATAAGCTGCTACTCAGGGAGGCAAAGCCGTTTAAATGCTGGTACTCAGCACCACGCTTTTTTAGTACCCGAAAACAGCAAAAGCTTCTACTCTTGCCGCTTATTTTGAAGGCTGTGGTTTTAAGATTTTAGATAGAGGTACAGATGTTTATTGCTGCCAGAGGGACCTCATATCAGAGTTCCTTCCAATACGGAATTTATGCAGTACATCTATGATTTGTTTACTACCAGATATTTTCTTGGTAAAACATACCTGTACAAAATAACAGCGTGGGAGAGCTTAGATGATGCGATTATAACATTTGAATACGCGTCCTTCTGTGTTATTGCTGCGGTGCAAGTCAGCAGTATCAGGATGGCTGATCTGGATGCAGCTGGACTGATGAAACGAGGGATCTAAAATGGCACTTCAGCTTTGGAGGGGACAGGGGAGCTGCCCTCTGCTGATGGATCAAGCCTGCCTGCCCAGCTGCCGGGAGCAGGGCTAGCCAGAGAGGGACCTGCGGATGTGTTGGCGCCTTGCCCAGAGCCTGCTGGTGCCAGCAGGCTTGAGGGGCCGCTGCCTGCTGTCGCTGTGGAGAAACCGGGCTCTCGCTGGGGTAGGTCTGTGCCGCGGGGGGTGGCCTGCAAACCACGGCCTTGGCGGGAGCACGCGCACTTTGGTGGTGGCGGCGCCAGCCGCCTGCGGGCCAGAGACCCCAGTCCTGCCCTGGAGCAGGCAGTCTGGCAGCGGTGGTGGCTCTCCGGAGGAAGAGAGGACAGTAGGAAGCGGCTCTGAGGGAACATTAAGATGGGACAGTAAGGAAAAGGGAGTGCTTTTCCCCTGTAGCTCGCAGGGGCTGGGAAGGAGCGCCAGCACGCACGGTCTGTAAACGCGGAGCTGCGCTGCTCGCACCTCCTGTGAACGACGGCGGGGCCTGCTCGGGGGCTGTGGGCTTTGGCTGGGACATCCAGGGG